ATGGTTCATGGAGTCACAAAGAGTCGGACACGACTTAACGACTGAACAACAACAACCCTGATATCATTTAAATGCGGCTTGAAGACCTCACTTTTCTCCCAGACTCTGGGTTAGGTCAGAGTATGTGATTATGTTTGGTATATCTATGATGTATTTGTTCCTCCTGGCTATAGTCACTTTGAAAAAAAAAAAAAAACAGTTCAACATATTGGGGTGTTGTTTTTAATCTGTATGTCACCTAGAGTTGCTCTGAGTTGGGCAGCCTATAACTCTAAATTACAAATAAATATAAATAATTATGTTTTGTTCTTCTCACCTCTCTCTTTATGAGGATCTCATTATCACCATCCAATCATGACTTTTTCAGTCTTTCTCCTTCTCTCAACCCATTCACCCTTCCTTCGTCTATTTGTTTTACAATTCAAAGTTCAGTCATTTGAACTATTTGAGCAAACCACCTCAGCGTAGTTTTTTTGATATTCACTCTTGTAATCAATCCATATTCCCTCAGCACCTTCTCATTCTCTCTTCTTGTTTTACCATGCACACTACTTAAGCCCTCCATTTCCATTACATTCAACTTTGCTTTTGTTTCTCTCAGCATACCCAATAATCACTTCATATAACAAAGTGGCAGAGGCACATTTCAGACATAGCCATTTTCACTTTCAACGAAAACATTCATTTCTGGCAACATGTGCTACCTACTGCTTTTTCTATCTGTGTTTGGCAGCTTGAAATTTCTCTGTGTTCCCATCTTTGGTAAACATTTTGTCAGAGTAAACAGATTCATCTGTTTATTTTAGCTTTTTCCCCACTTATATTAACTTGCAATCATTAATTTTCTGTCAAATAAAATTAGCTTGCCTTTGATACCTTTCAGATCCTTCTTCCCTGTTACAACATACAATTTAAGAGAGGCTGCAAATAATTTGGGATTATCTGTCTAATCTGCATATAAAAGTAAATGTACATTCACGTACCCAAATAACACAACTCTAATGTCACTATAACCATTCCTTATTCATTTGTTGATAAATATATTTAAAAACCAAGGAAACATCACACAACCTTGTCTTATTTCCTGCTCAGCGATGAACCATTCACTAAGCATTCCATTTATCCTCAAGCATGCTCTACTTCCATCACATACCACTCCTACAACATTCAGGAACCAATTTTCAACTCCATAATTGTGTAAAACATTCCACCACTTAAGTGTATATTTATTATATACTACCTCTACATAAACATACATTCAATAAACTTCCTTTCTCATATTCAGTTTTCTCAAAGGTACAACAAACTGTATTTTTCACATTCATACGTTTCTAAATGTCTTGTTGGTAATCATAGTTTCTATTTTAACTCTGTGTTCTTGGTTTTCATTTTTGTTGTAAGCTGCTTTGAATCTTGGACTGAATGGAATATAAAGAAATAAATGGTAAAGAGCATGAATTAATTACTGAAATGAAAGAAATCAAAACAGAATGTGTTTGTAAAACTAAGAGAAAAGAAACAGTTGTAATAGATCTGAGTGAACATGATCTGATTCTGTGGCATCAGTGAACACAGGCGAAGAAATGTAGGCTTAATTATGAATGAAAGGGCTAAATGTATCTCAGGAAGTATGAAACAGTGTCATCCACACAGTTGTGGGTGTGTGTAAAATTAGAAGTCCATGAGTTGGTGAGAGCTGCATGTTATATTCCAGTAACTGACGACAATGGAAAAACCTTGGATGAATTTGGAAAAAAATGCAATGTTCTGAATAAATGTAATCCAGAGGGGAAAAAATTATTCTGTTAGGCAACCTGCAGGTTTTGTATGCCACAAATGCAACTAATGCTCAGCTTTACGCCAATCATGATCACACTACTCTGTTCAAACTAGAATCTCTTCATTAGAACCTATACATTGTTTTCCACATCCGATGCACCAAAACATACCTGCAATGAACTGATAGATACTCAAGATGCCTGGGGTTAGTTACATCATTTGCTTTGTTTTGTAAACTATTCCTTATGTGGAAAACTCTTTCCAAGTAATACGTGGATTTGATATTTTCCTCCAGAAAGGGTATGCACATTGTGTATGAGTGTGTGTGTGTGTGTGTGTGTGTGAGAGAGAGAGAGAGAGAGAGAGAGATTATTCCCCATCTGCTCTCTCAAAAGATATACTTCAATCTACTACGTCTCACTGCAGCAGGATTAGGCAATATCTAAGTGGCTGACTACAAAGTCCAAACTTGTTTGGATTATCTATCGCATGCTAACAGGAAAATTAAGGAGAACTTAAGGAGTGGAAGAAAGGAGGTGAGAGTGCAGAGAAACAGAGAGAGAGAGAGAGAGAGAGATGGATGGATGGTTGGACTTCTATTCATTTATGTTCATTTCTCTAAGAACTGCTATAGTCAAAAATGGAAAGGAATTACTCTAAATTGCTCTGGATAGAGAAAAACAGATGGGGTGACAGGACCAACCACCTTCTGAATTCTAGGCAATGTAATCAAATTGATACACATTCAGGTTTCTTGGATAAACAGTCAGTAGGTGCTGTTTCCCAATCATGATGCCTATATTTTGGAACAGCCTCCCTCTAGAAGTTCCAAAACCCATCACTGATGACCTGCTGGAAGGTAGTGAAGACCATATGTTTCTGGAGACTCTTTGCAGAGTGACTGACTACACACCACCAACAGGATTCATTAGCTAGTATTTGGCACTAGGTACTACCAAGCTTGTTGTTGTTTGTTGTTTAGTCGTTAAGTCGTGTCCGACTCTTCGTGACCCCATGAACCA